CATCCTAACAAACATAGTGAGGGTGTGAGTTTAGGTATCCGTTTAACGTCTAATAACTCATAAGACATTTGAAAACCATAGATTCTTACTGTATTTAAAAAAAATCTAAAATGTCATTGTTCAACATGTATTCAAAACGATGATTACATTCTGTCTCTGACTTATTCTTTTGATCTTCGTTCGTGAATTTTCTCTATTCTCAAACCAATAGTTCATTACATTATCAATGGGACATCGAATTTCTTGTCCGCAACATCTTCTGATACGTGTTTCAACTGTCTGCTTCTTTATTCAACGTTTGATTTTCAATATTTTCTATGAAAGATCTTTGATTTTTCATCGAATCTTATTCGATTCAGATGTACTTGAGAAACGATATTGCCACAAGCTTTGAGACATGTTAAACAAAGTGATTTCTGCAAATAATTTGATTACATCAGTGATCACACATCTAAGAAACTTAGTAGCAGTTCTATGAATTGATCATTAAAATCTCAACCAGGTTGAATATCTTTATTTCACATATGATTTGACTCGATTGAAGATGAAAAAACTTCAATAGATCGACTTCGTACTTCGAGCACATATGTACTTGTTGCGGTAAAAAGCTAGAAACTAAAGAGCTAATATCCTGAATTTATGTCTAATTCATATCAACCAACTAACTGGGAAAAATATTGATACTTATGACTCTTCGAGAGTCGACAAAAAACGTGTACACAACAGATATTCTCTAAATCAAATAATTTGGATGTTCGGATATTTTATAATTGAAAAAACTATATGAATAGAGTATACATTGGTAATAAAGAATAACGGCAAAGTATCAAAGAATGGGATGCTATAACCATGAAGTGAGAACGAAAAGAACAACAAAATATTCAACAAGTAATATGAAGAGAGAGAAAGAGTTGTAACAAGAATTATTAAAGAAAATACTAGACCTATCTACTTATTTGAGATGAATGACAAAAATCTGTAAGTTAACTTCACCATGAATGGAACAACAGAACGAAGTACCGCTGACAGGCCAGTAAAAACACTCGGAAATGTTGTTAGAGTGAAGAAAAGATCGAATCGTTTTCCATATGCATACGTGCAATATGTTGGAGCGGATGCATTATAGTATCGTTCATAAGAGATCTCACTTGACCAAAAATCAATAAACAATTTATTGACAATCATTTCAATAGTATCATTCATTTTATAACGGGATGTTTTAGGTAGACTTAATATAGATAAACTTTCGTTTGATTCTGTCCAAGTTGTAACTATAACTGTGATCCCATCGAAAATATTTTTATAACTCGTTTCAAAGTCAGTAATACAGGATATTGAGACAAGGCATGACAATGATGAAAGTAAGATCGAATCCAGGATAAAGCAACCAAGAAAAATATTCTCCAATCTGTAAGCTAATGTTCGGTTTCGATAGTTAAAGAAAGCTGATTCGAAGCATGAACTTGAAGTAGAACATGAACAAGTTCCATTATTGTACAACTTCGGCGTATAAATGAACGAAGCTTTGGTTCCATCAGGTACGTACGTCAACAACAAATTCGTTTCTAACACACATATGAAACCATTACCTTCAGCAATAGCTCGGAATAGTTGTATTGAGCGAGTAAATTGGGTTTCCATTGTTTGTTCAAAAAGTTCGATTATCTGATTAACTTGTGATTGAGATTGAAGTTGAGACATCACTTCAATAGATATGAATGACTTGATTCGAAACTGTTTAATGGCATCAGCTATCATTGTATTGGCCATCGAACATACATAACAAAGTAATTTGAAATAGAGAACACTCCATCTATGAAAAAACGATTTAGAAATAGCATGCCGATCATCGAAGTGTAGTTAAGGAGGGTGAATGTTATGTTTGCATCAAAAAAATTTTTCTTTTTTGGTATGAAGAGAACCGACAAAATAAATAGAAAACTACGAAAGAAAACATGTATGGTCTCCATTACTATGCAAATACATTACATTGCCAATCAATTATCCTTTTTTCAGAAGGCAATTGCAATTGATTTTTTTTTCTTGCGTTGCTTCAAGTGAAACCAGGTGAAGGAAACCCACGAAATTATACTTCAATGTGTAGATGATTCATAAAGCAGTGCTATATATAAACAGTCTCCATGTATGCGATTACTACTGATTTCGTTTCTATCCTGGGTAAAATGACCGCATTTCAAAGCGAATAATTGGAAACACAACATACTACATTCAGCATTTGTTTAGGTTTTATCAATTTCTATTTATAAAAATTTATTGAATCCAAAAATAAATTTATATTAGATTGAGGGTGTAGGTATGGATGTGGGTTTTGCTATTCTTCATCTCATTTTTTTCATTAAAAATATCAAAAAAAAAGAAAAATTAAATATTTGCAAAAAAAAATACATGTTAATTTGCCAAATGCCAAGAACACTCTTAAAGTTAAGGAAAAATGGTTTCTGAAAAATGTCAAGCGTCACATAAATGCATTTACGCCGGAAGATATAAAATATACACAAAATCGAATTTCTTTATCTATTTCTACCTTCACAAGCAGAACGGAAACAGACATCGAGAGATAGCATCATTTTTCTCAGCATGAGAAGACTTTCTAGTAGAAATGGATTTTTTTTTCAGCAGCAATGCTATTAATTCAATGACAAATTCTCTATCCAGTTCTACCTTCACAAGCAGAAGTGAAGAAGTTTTAAAAAGATATCCAGCATGTTCCTTTCTCATTCTCGAATGACAAATATATGTTTATATTTTTCTTTGCAGCTCTCTTTGTTGAAGTGTTTCTCTTTAAAGGACAACGATTTCTGCTTGAGCTGTGAGGTGGCTGAAAGAACAGAAATAGATGCATATATATTTCTATTTTTTGTTTCCATTTCTTTTGGATGTGTATGACTGTGTGAGGGGTGAAGCATTTTTCTATAAACACGAACCATTTCCCCATTGACTGATCCAATTGTCCACTGCTGATACTTCCATGATTGCATACAGTTAAGGGTCAGAGTGAACTATTAGTGCGGAGCACTATCTCTGTGATGCATGTTAATATGCGACGTTCAGGATAACGATGAGATAGCGAAGATGACAAGAAGTGTCAAGCAGGAAATTATGATGAGTGTGTGGATGATGTGAGAGTGAGTGCGCATATCGTGTAGGGGAATATTAGGGAAAGAGTGAAAATAATGAGTGAATACAACACGCTCTTCCATACAGAAGCATCATTTTTACCGACTTCAATGCACATCTTTATCCTCACTCTAGTGCAATATTCTTCGGCTGCACTATCAATCACACTTTGACTCACAAAATTGTACGCTCATTCACTCACATCTGCAACCACATCCTTTTATGAGTTCTATAAATTCTGTGAATTTCTTAGAATTAGTGAATTGCTTGGCTTCTATGGATTTTGTAGTATCCATTAGTTTCTTGAGTTTCTTTGATTCCATGTCTTTGGCATGAGTTCGGCTTTCAACAGTTTCTCAGGAGTTCAAAACTAATGCAATTTGAACAAATCTCGCAAAGACCATCGTGACACTTTCAAAGATCTTATTGGATTCACTCAATCTGACAATCTATGAGAAATTAATTTTGTTTTCTTAGAAAATGGTAATTCGAATATCCAGCATAGGATCATTTTGACAAATGAGCTTCCTAATAACAATCGATCAAGACAAAGTATGTTATGTGTGTGATACTTGGATTTAAAGTTGAATTGTAATAATTTGAGAGTTTAGAATGTATTAATTGAACTGCTCTATTCAGACATTTATCGATTATAAGTTTCTGTGATGAAAAACATTGATAGAAGCCAAAGCTCTAAATGAGACAGATTTCGGTCATCGCCTCGTCTCTTCTTGACTTTAAATCTTATTTTCCATTCTCACTTCGCTCTGCTCTAAGAAAAATTTTCTTGGAATCAAACTCCTAACTCTGATTCAAGGTTCTATTTTAGCTTTCAGCATCGCTGGATATGTGCAACAAGAAAGACGATGAGAAATTGCAAACATAACCTTGATCTAGGAACATCAAAATGGTTCCTGATGGAAAAACTAAAGGATAGCCCATAAAGAAGTATACTGTTCGTGTTTTCAGAATTTCTTCTCTTTTTTTCTACTTACTCGAGAATAGAATTGCTAGATCAAAAAGTTATAAATCAGAATTTGTGCAATGAGAATTTAGAAAATTCCGAAAGTAATAAATATAGTTATTTGACGCATCAATATGTATATAATATTGCCTTTTCTTATTGAAATATGTTTTTATCTATCAGTATTCTAAGTGAAAAATGTTAGTGACATAGTTTTTTTTTCTTTGTCTCAATCTGACTTAACTCATCGAATTCTTCAATTTATCATTCACGGCTGAATCTATCAGTTTAACACGTAACAATTCTCATTTGCAGAAGCGTCTTCTTAAACTTAAAACTCAATTCATATCGGGAAATTGTTTATGCAAATGGTTTATTTTAACACTATAGCCTATTCGATTTAGTTCCGAGAGACTTACGATTCAAGCGAGCGTGTATTGTTAGTAGTCGCATAATTCTGTATTATATTATGATTACAGCAGAACAACGAAGCCCATTAATTGCTGAAAAGGGTTAGTTTATAGATTATAATCAAAATTTATAAAGGTTCAACTGTAGAGAAATATCAGAACTCGGCAGAAAATATCTCAATTCGGAAGATCTGACAATCTTGTAATAAATCCTTTGTTTTTTTTTTCTAGTTTTAGTGAATACTGTTTTTATAAACTGTAGATATTTTTCCAGTAGTTCAAGCAATTATTACTACGTGAACAAAGTGGCAGAGAGTATCCAATGTTAATCTAGTACACATCTTTTTTCTGTTATATTAAATGAATATTTTAACAAAAGTCTTCTATTTTTTAATGAAAAACCTTAGCAAAAAATCTATCTAAGCTTGTAAAATAATATTTTTCAGAGAAAAAGTTAGATATCAATTATTCTTCTAATCTTTTGCAATATGTCATCGCCTAATACGAGTATGGTTGAAGCAATCAATGCTATGAAACAAACTATATCAAGATTTACTCAAATATGGTTCTTTTCCTTGTTTATTTTTGGTGTAATTGGTCACACATTGAGTATCTATGTTTTTACACGTCGTCAATTTCGTTCAAATCCATGTACACGTTACTTTTTGGCATCAACTATATTTGGTTGTGCTGTTGTCTACTTAACTATTCCACTACGATTGCTTCAAACTGTATTTAATGTAGATGTGTTTATATATTCACATCTAGGATGCCGAATTTTATCATATATTTTCAATTGTTTCAGGTAATGTATATTTAAATGAAAGATAACCAAAAGTGAATACTAGTTTTTGGTTGTTTAGGATACTACCATCTTGGTTTATTGCTCTAGCTTCTATTGATCGGTGAGTATTGGTCAGAAGCAGAAAACTTAATAGAAACGAAATTTTCGATCGACTAAGTCTTTGTTAATCTAGTTTTCGATAGTTAATAACATGCTGTAACAATGACGAGGATTCAGGATTGTAACTAAGAGAAATTTCGTGGTACGTAGCAGCCTATGTTTCTGAAAATTAGCAATGATTATCTGTGTTATCCTTCCTCTGCTTTTGAAATTTACTGTCAATCATTGGAAATATATAGGCTAAACTGACATTGTGTTCCGTAGTCTCTGCAGTCTAAGTTACGTCCCAGTAAGGATTATGACGACACTGATAACATATATACATCCGAAGACTGATGCACACTAAAAAATTAACAATAGTCGTATGTATTCAAAGAATACAATGGAGACATGTTGACAACATGTTTTTTTCTTATTCGATATTCTAGGAATTCTAAGCAATTCTTACGGAAAGAGAAAAACAAATTAGTACCGAAAAAAGTCTATCATTTTGATATTCTTTCTACGTTGTTTTGAATCTAAGAAAAATATTTTGAATTTTTCTGCAAGTAACGTACTTATCGATTGTTGATCTTCGGAGAGTCATAGTTCAATAACTTATGATGGCAAAGAGCTGAAATTTAGACTGCATATAGATATATAGAAATTCTAGTTTCACTAAAAATTTTCATTTCATCTGGTCGACCTATGACGATTCTTGTAGGATAGAATGCAATGGTAACGCACTCATCCAAAACGATTCCATTACATCAGAGCGATTCAAAAAATGCTCATACTTCTGAAAATTTGTCCGATTTGAATAAAATCTTTTCATTTGTATTTATGGTTCAGACAACAAACCTTACGATGATCAGATATTTTCTTTGGAAGTTTTTCTTGCAATGTGTCATCACCAAAACATTACAGTCACGCACTCAGCAGTTTTTACACCTTTGACAACAATACCGAGTGACCCATTCGTGCGACACTGCAGCTAAATCTTCAGCGATCTCACTAGTATTTTAGTTTTTTTATCATGATGAAAAATAATAGATGTCTTTCTTCGAAGTTTTTGCACAACAAGTGTTAAATTTTAGCCGACTAGAACCATTTAGTTTCATTGTTATCCAAAATAAATGGCATCTATCAATAGAGAACATACGAAAGCCTCGAAAAAAATTTTGAATGACTAAATTCGGTGACCTTTTGTCAAAAAAATCTTCTGTTAAACTTTAGTCAAGCATAGTCAATTTTAGCTAAACAACCTCCTTACACTGTTGTTTATACTAAGATGTGAGTATTAACATGAAGATTGATTTGTTCTTTGTTCACTCATGTTTATTATCAATTAGATTATTTAATGCTGACAGAAACTTCATGGTTACTACTTTCTCATATTTTCTGTCTAGAATGAATCAACTCTTACTCAATATGATGAATTTCAATATTTTGTTGTGTATTTCCGAAAAATCTTATCGTTTTTCTTTTCTGTAGGTTTCTTTGTAGTTCTACAAATGCTACTCTTCGTCGATGGAGCAATATTCGTATTGCTTCCCGTACTATTCTACTTACTATTTTACTCAATGGTCTTATTTATAGCCATATGCCTTTCAATTATACAATTTTCGTATCACCACGATCATGTGCTATTGCAACAAGCTCTTATCAGGCTTTTTATTCTATATGGAACTTGATTGTTTTCGCTTGGATTCCAACTATTTGTATGCTTATTTTTGGTTTACTCACTATTCGACATGTTCGTCAAGGTAAGAAGAGAGTAGCAGCTCAAAATACGCAAAATAATGGTCAACGAAATCAAAAGAAAATAGATCGACAATTAATTCAAATGTTGATTATTCAATGTTTGGTGTATGGTTCAATATCAACTGCTAACTCGGTGTTTCAGCTTTATGTATCAATAACAAACAGTGTAATGGTAAAAAATGATTTTGAAAAAGTCCGAGACAATTCTGTACTTAGTGTTACGAATGCAACAACCATTTTTGGTCCATGCATGAGTTTCTATCTATTTGCATTGTCAAGTCAATTGTTTCGTTCTGAATTGATGAATTTATTTCGTCGAAAATCACTTACACCAGGACTAAGTAATACAATTGAAACTGCTAGACAAACAACTAACTGACATTTTATTTAATATTAATATTAATATTTTTGATTGAATTACATCGAACTTGCAACGTTTTTTTTGTGAAAAATTTTTCTTGAAATGGTATATTGTAAAGTAAAAACTGTCGTACTCGTTGTGTTCTAATCAATATTCAGGCTCTATTCGCGATTTTTTCAGTGTTGTGATGTATCACTTATTCTTTATTGTTTTTATGTATATTATTTTTGATGTTGTTTATAGACATGAATGGAATTAGTTTTTCTGTATTTCCAATATGTTCATCAATGAAATTTTATCTGTTAATTAGAGCCCTGCGGTTCCAAAAAAAATGGAACCGAGAACCGAACCGGGAACCGGTTTTTTCAATTTCTATTACCCGGAACCGGAACCGGAACCGTGAAAAAAAATGGAACGGAACCGGAATCGGAACCGTTGGAACCGAACTTTTTTAATAATAGCTAAGAAATTATTCAAATGCAACATAATAATATGTGGACACAGGTTATGACCTGTGTAGTGATGCATTTTGTGCATTTCTCATGCTCATATTTAAAACCACAGCAATGCAATAGTTAGCAATTGCTACCCCTAAAATAAATTATTGGAAACAATAAGAACTTAAGGGTGGGGTGTTGCTATGACTGTAAGTGAGACTACATGTATTTCTGCAGCCACTGATACCCACACCAACACCTACTCACACCCACATCCACATCCACACTCTAATGATTCCGAAGAAAATGATGAAGTCGATTTATTTTAAAAATTTGTAATATTAATAATTTCATGTGAACATATTTTATAATAGTATGTTTTCTTATTCTTTCATCTTTCATCGTATTTTTTCAAATTTTTTATGAAATAATAAACATGAACAATCTCAAAAAAGGCATACAGAAATTAAAAAATATCTTACTCAATATTTTCTATATCAATGTAAAAACACCGGTTCCTAAAACAAATTTTGGGAACCGACATTGGAATCGCTTTTTTTCGATTTTGGGAACCGGAACCGAACCGGAACCGTCGGTTCCGGTTCGGTTCCCGGGTAATTATAGGAACCGCAGGGCACTACTGTTAATCTGAATTGTGAAGAAAAACGAATTGTTCGTACTAACTCATTGAAATACAAAAGAAAAACAGAAATTGAAGTTGTTGAGAAAAAAAATCAATTAACATCCTTGTTACATATTTCTATATCATCCATCGCCGTCCAAAACCACACGTTATACTAGAAATGACTATCACTCAAGGTCGAAACAGTTATCGATGATAATTTGCTATTGGATTGTCTAATATTGGGATCCAAAATCAATATCTACTAATACAATTTTGACACATCGATGTACTAATGTACAACAAGGGGAAGTTCCCTCGAAGTCTATATTTGCTTTGCGCCACCTGTCTCTTCCAGGAATAGTGGGAAAAGAATGCCAATAACACTGCGATGATCGTTGTTTTATTATTATTATTCGTTTTTTTGGCAATTAAGCAGATTTTCTCCTAATTATTTCGACTTTTGCAACATGTTTCGTCAATTTATTCCAGTTTTTACTACTGATATCAAGAGATATTATTCGATATCTTCTATACATTATGATTCAATTGATCCCGGTGAAGAATTTCAAGTTTGCAAAGCTTACACTTAGTCGTGGTACTTATTCTTTTTAACTATTAGGATTAATGCATCATCATTCAAATTTATCGAAACGTTCTTCTGATTGTAAATCAACAGCTAAATGTTCACTAGAATACTTACAAGGTAGGCCTTGTACACCTTAGCTTTTACTAATAAATACTCGACTCTTTCTGTCTATTTGCAGGATTAGAAAAATGTAAAAATGCTATACGTGAAATACAAAATTTCCATATCACAAAAACCGGATCAGTTTTAGCGGTAAACCGCGATTCACTATTAAAAAGAACCGCTTAGCTGATAGGGAGCCAGTAAAGCGAGAAAAACCGCCGGTTTTTGCCCGGTTTTCATCACATGGGTTATTCACATGTGAGTTGAGATTATATACTGTTTGCTCTATTGCATTGTGGATTTGATAAATTGCCTTCGACTGTGATGAACCATTACCACTGAACTGGCCAGACCTGCTCGATGATGATCATTTAACAACAAGTGATGCTAGTTCAATGGGCAATTTGTTTAATAAAAATTGTCATACTCAGTAAGTCTGATTATGTTCAACTTCTATCAGACTGTCTTGGATCTTATTTAACTTGGGAAATGAATAGAAAAAAATATAAAAAGGAACCATTAAGATTTCAATATTTACAAAAATGTTATAACCGAATATTTTTATATTTTCGTGAACTTTGTTGTTTTTATATGCTTCTTAACTTAAAAACATTCTTTTCCTTAATACGAATCTGTTAAAGAAACATTGAACACACTCATCAGATATACACAAGAATTCGATAGAAGAGTTTTAGTACTCTACTAGATGATCATTCAATGATGTGGTGCGTTAAGTATGGGTGTATATGTGATTGTGGATGCGGGTGTTGGTGTGAGGGTGGGTGTGGGGTGTGATTGGATGAGCTCAAGTACAATGCCGACACCCACACCAAATGATATTTGATCATGTGAGCGAAAATATCGGTAAAGTAGTTTACAATTGGCTAAGATCGAATTTTTCCGTCGATTGTAATTGATTTATAATCATTTATAAACCTAATCATCCTTCTGATTATTTTCCAACAAAATCAAAATTATAATCAATTAAAATCAGATTTCGTTTTGCGAATTATCATCAGATGATAATCGATGATAATTAGATTATAACCAATTATCATCTAAGGATAAGTTACGAAAAAATTTAAATTTTCATCAATTATAATTTTTATTGTTGCAGAATAATCGAATTTACGATAATGGTTATGGTCACAGGACTTTGAAATTTTGATCATATTTAATCAGCAAAATTTTCCACTGAAGATCATTATTCAATGTCATCCCACTAAAAATATCTCGATCTTACGGAGGCGAACAAATGGCCTTATTCGCCCTCTCCTTTGTTCGAATCATAAATTCTATGTTTTAAATCAAAAATACGATTTGCAACAATTTTGCCATAAGTACTCTGCTTATAATCTTCAAAAGTTTGCTGAAATGCACTGCTATTGTGTGAAGTGATGAAGCTTTCAAGTTCGCTGGTTCTTATCTAACTATACTATTAGAAGTTGTAGTAATTTCATATTAATAATTTTATTTTTATATAGACATATATATTCTACTTATGATGTTGCAACTTTGTTGATGTACAATTCAGGTAAAAAAGTACGTCCTATTATTATACTCTCATCATCGATGCACAACAAATTACGAGATGCTCGACTTGAGGGTGTGGGTGTGGGTGTAAGTCTTCAAGTTATCTTCACTCACACCCCCATATGAGTATCCCCAAATTATCTTTGTTTGTTACTCAAATACAAATAAACGAAGCTTGAGTTGTCCAGTGGAATTCACCTAGAGAAATAAACTGAAAGAACGAAAAATTACAATATATATGAAATCAAGTTATTGACAGAATGATCAACTAACAAGTATTGCTGTCGACCTAAGTCTAGGTTCATTTAATAAAGCTCTTAGGAGTTTCACAAAATAAGTAGATTAGTATTCTTGATGAGTGTTCAAGATTAATAAACAATCATGTGCTTAGAATTAGTTGTGTCGAATTATACTTTCAAAACATTACTTTGATAAAAACATATCAATGAACTCAAAAGAAACATACACAATCTGTGAAAATACTTAAACAATATTAAATGAGAAGAATGATTAGAAAATGGCGTACAAACGAGTTCTTGAAAGACCATCATGGTTAAGATTGAGTAGCCTTCCTTCATATGAAATTACTTCCCATTACTTTCACTACGAACTAAAACTTTCCCCATGATGGATTCTTCTCATCCCAACTCTAATAGTATCGTGGAGATTTTTTTCTTTCAATAAATAATAAGATTAATATCATTTTTTCTGCAATGACGCTTACAAAATATGCAATTTTTGTGTTAGTTTCTCTCTATTTCTGTTCTTTTGATATACAATAACTGTAGTAGCATCCTGTTTTTACGATCAATTGACTAAAATTGGTCTATGTTGAGATTGTCTAACAATGCTTGTCAATATTTGTTAACATAGTCAAACTGATATTTGACATTCATGCGCCAATTTGCAAAAGATCAAATCTATATGTTTGCTTCTCTCATTGGTGAACACAGAGCACACAAATAATAAACTTCTTGCTCATTCTCTGTACATTCCATCGTCATGTGTTCACAAAAGATACAGTATTCTGATAAAAATTTCAAATGATTATCGACGAATATATGTGCGAGACAGGAAAAGATTGATGTAGACGCTGTAGTAAAGCAAGGAATGATCACGACTCATTATTAAGAAAGAAATGACCAAAATAAATATAATTAACAAGTAAGATTAGTTCGATGTGAAAAGTCAATGGATAATGCAGTTGTAGGTTTTTTCCCTCTTATTCTTTATATGACATCAATAATGAAAATGCAATCAAAAAGACGATCGGGTGACTAATACAGGTATCTCTTTATTTTGCTTCAAGAGTAAACGAGCGTTTTAACAATTACAGTAATTTCCAAGTGACGTAAATATTTTTCAAAATTCGGACAAATATTTACCAACAATAGCTATCATTATTGTGTTTTATGTACAGATATTATTGTATTGCGTTATA